GCAAGTGCTATATGATATGTTAGTTTTCCTGGTGTGTGGCAGTTGCTACCATGTAGGTAGGTACACAGCGAATTAGAGCAACGATCACGCTACAATTCCATTATGAAATCGCACCGTTCGCAGCATGGCATACAATGTAGATCGAGCCAGCCACAATTTACCACCCGGCAAGAAAGCAATTCACCCAAGACAGTATCATTTATTGGTTGGAAATTCGGCTGAATTTGATTAACACTAGTAGAACGGGGTATTTTCAGGACCAGGTCCTGGCGTCCAGGACCGCGTCCGGGACGGGGTCCTAATGCCACCATGCCACCTAGGACGGGGTCCGGAGCCAGGACGGCGTCCCGGACGGCGTCCTGATGCATTGCGGACCACGCCACCAACTGTGCAGGTGAACATTCACACCAAGGGGTGCCAGGACGGCAGTCCGGACGCCGTCCGGGCTGACGAGGACGGCGTCCGGGACCCCGTCCTGGATGTCATCCCTTCGGACGCCGTCCCGGACGGCGTCCGGGACGGCGTCCTGAGTGGTGATACCATCCTGGCGGATGGTGCCATCATCATTGACACCAGCTCCGCGCATATTCGCACTACATCTGAGCCAGGACGGCGTCCCGGATCCCATGCGGACCCCGTCCCAGCTCAGGACCCCGTCCGGGACCCCGTCCGGACCCCGTCCTGGCTCAGGACCCCGTCCGGGACCCTGCCCTATCCCAGGACCGTCCGGAACTCCATCGTGGCGCAATCCCGCGTCCGGGACTCCGCCGAAGATCGAGCACTGCTGCAATATCGAGGTGGTGAGGCTGTTCCTGCACGAAGCAAGAGGAGTGGGGCAGCATGTCGAAAGCCTTTGGCGATGCACACACAGGTACGTGGGGGCGCTAGTAGAACGGGGTACTTTTATGACCAGGTCCGGACCTGGTCGGCCAGGATCCTGGCGTCCAGGACCGCGTCCGGGATGGGGTCTTGATGCCACCATGCCACCTAGGACGGAGTCCCGAGCCAGGACGGGGTCCCGAGCCAGGACGGCGTCCTTGCGCATTGCGGACCACGCCACCAGCTGTGCACACGCAAGTGCAGGGGCAGTGCTTTGCATCTTGTGGAATGAATTTGTTGATGCTGATTGTCAACCATGCATGGCCAATTGGCCAATTGGTCTCTTGGCCAGTTGGCAATATGGCCTCAATCATGCCCAGGCAGCTGCAAGGCCGACATCTTCTTGGGCCATTTCCTTGTGGAAGCTTAGGCCTTTCTTGGCCACTTGTTTTCAAATACAATTGATGCAAGGGTAGATGTTGCCATATTTCGATGGGTGCATTAACTGCAGATTTACCGGCATCTGGCTACCCCTTTGTGCTCTCTGATGAATACTTGTTGTGGATGAAACTTTTGGGGGCCAATAGTGGTAAAACAGTATCAATCATGAGACTGGACTTATGGCAAGAGCACTGTGATAGTCGCAAATCGGAACAAGATTGTGAGAAATCTGGCAACAAGGACCCATTGTCAACTGCTAGCACTAAACAAGTGAACAAGTGACCACTGAACAAGTGTTGTCTGCCCCCAGGTGTGCTGATGTGCACTGGCATGGCTGTTGGGGGACCCAACATTCTGGATAATCTGGCTGGTGCAGTTCGATGCTCGCCAGTGCTTCTGATATACATTCAGGGCTTCATCCATAGACTGTGAAGAGCCTCTCAGTTGGGAGAAAGAAGGATGGGCTGTCGACTGACCTGCTGAGAACAACTGTGTCAACATGCTGAGATAACACAAGGTATGCAGGACCCCTTCGATTCCTTCCCTGTCCGCATTTTTGCTTCCTACTCTCTCCAGTCTGCTCTGGTGCATGTCAATCAACATGCACACCTGTTAATATGCACTCTTTTCACTTGCATTGAAATGGTGTTTTGCTTGTTGTGTATCCCTTGTACATTCCCAGACAGCTGAGCCACATTTGCAAGCTCAAAACTTTCAGCATGGTGCTCGCAATCTTACAGCATCAAGTACCTTAGAAGGTACCTTTGGTTATTTCCCAAGTACTTGCTGTCTTGCTCCATGGCTCCCTTGCCAAGCAGTTTGAGGTTGTAGTAAGCTGTTTGAAGAATGGATGCTGCCTTGCAATGGCACCCTGATCTTGCTTGCTCCTGAAACTAATTGCTGCTTCACGGACGCGAGGGAATAGAGCCCCTTTGGCAAAGACCTTATGACAGAAACAACACGCCCACTACAATCTGGGTGCAACACGTTGTGATCGTGGCCCTGATGGCTGTCCTGAACCCCGAGAATCCTGTTCAAGGTGCAGACTGGGATCTGTGGTGAAAGCCCCTAGCAATGGGGCAGGTGATCCAGCCATCCACATTTGTCGTCCCAAACCTACACTTCTGTCATGCACATCCTACTACCCTCTTTTTATGGCTTTGGTTTCAGTGGCCAGATGAGGGGTTCATCCTCACTGTCCTGGATACATTTGCCTGGACTCTCACTGGAATTCTCAATTGGCGAGGGATTCGATGGGCAGTGAACTTACTTCGATTACATTTGTCATCACAGTGCCAAATGTTGCATTTTCTTGAGTGGGACAGGGTAATAGGGTAAGTTTCTTTGGAGGAAGTGGGTGATGGACAGCCTAGGCACCCTTCCCAAAGCTTTGGCCCAACCCCCCGAGGGCTCCTGGGCCTCTCCCTGACAGCGCTGGCGATTTATACGCAAGGAATTGTATCGTTGGGCCTGGCAATCGTGCACTACCCCCTTCCCATTCTCGTCATCTGCGTGCCCAGGTCTGATCTAGGGCAGCCTTTTTACTCGCTCAGACGATCCACGGTAATGGGGCGCCTCTTTGAGCATTTGTCGCCACTCTGGAGCCCCCGCTTTGCTGCCTCATGCCTTGCCTGACAGCACAGTGATCCGCTTGGCATGCACCGCACGGCGCAAAGGGATCCGTCACGACGAGCTGCGTGTGCAGCTCTTAGGACGCCCCTTTCTCGCCCAGCCAAGCGTTCAGCCATGGTTCCCGGCTTCAAGCACCTGCAGCTGTCTGATCGCCAGCTTCCGCCTAAATGTCACCCCTCTCGTCGCCGACAATGTTTGCCTAAAAATCGCTGAACTGCCTCAGCACCAAAGAGTTTCATTTGGAGCGTAGAGGACGCTCTTCGCTGCACGATTATGGCCCCGCGCTTCGTGCCAGGCCCCCCAGTCGCGGGCGTGCCCTATGGGCAAAGTCAACTCGAAAGTCAACGAACAGGGCGGGGGAGAGCAGCACGGGTTGTTTTGGCGGCGACTGTGAAATGGCGGCTGGTGAATTTGATGGGCGTATCGTTTGAAAGCGTTTGTGTTGTGCGCAGACGGTGGTCAGCAGCTTGTGGCATCGCGGTTTCGCCACCACAGGGTGACGAGCATTCTGGTGAGCATCGAAGTGGCGCTGGGAAGCAGCGCGGGCTGGCTTGATGGCCACCTTGAAGTGGCGACGCGCAAATGAGTGGTGTGGCGATTGAAAATTGCGAGTTGTTGGCGGGCACTCACCATATTCGTGTCACGTTTTCACCGGCGCCACGGGCTGCTGAGCTTTGCGTTGGTGGTGGCCAGCAGCGCGGGTTGGCTAGGTTGCCAGCTTGAAGTGGCGGCATGGGAAACTTTGAAATTTTTGTGGTGTGCACAAGGTCGGGTCTTCACAAGGAAGAGTTGTCAGCAGCCTGGGTGCAGAGAGGCAAGGCGACGGTGGCGCTGGGAAAGGCCGGACGGCTGCATTCAACGGCGGCGTTGAAGTTGGCATTCGGTTGAAGTCGACCAAGCTGTGGGTCGACAGTTTGTAAACACAAAGGTTGTAAGCCATTCTCTTGTCTCTGAACTCACTGTAGGGCGAACAACGTTCTGCCCCTTCAACATGGACCTCACGCAAGCATAAATCTGGGACGACCACCTCATGGCTAGAACGCCATCGGCGTCCGCGTTGCCATCCTCATACACCGCGTCCTTCTCAAGGACGGGGTCCGGAGCTCGCAGGACGGCGTCCGGAGCTCGTAGGACGAGGTCCGGAGCTCGCAGGACCCGGTCCGGAGCTCGCAGGACCCCGTCCGGAGCTCGCAGGACCCCGTCCGGAGCTCGCAGGACCCCGTCCGGAGCTCGCAGGACCCCGTCCGGAGCTCGCAGGACCCCGTCCGGAGCTCGTAGGACGAAGTCCGGAGCTCGCAGGACCCCGTCCGTAGCTCGCAGGACCCCGTCCGTAGCTCGCAGGACGAGGTCCGGAGCTCGCAGGACCCAGTCCGGAGCTCTCAAGGACCCCGTCCGGAGCCCGTAGGACGAAGTCCGGAGCTCGCAGGACCCCGTCCGTAGCTCGCAGGACGAGGTCCGGAGCTCGCAGGACCCAGTCCGGAGCTCTCAAGGACCCCGTCCGGAGCCCGTAGGACGAAGTCCGGAGCTCGCAGGACCCCGTCCGTAGCTCGCAGGACGAGGTCCGGAGCTCGCAGGACCCAGTCCGGAGCTCTCAAGGACCCCGTCCGGAGCCCGTAGGACGAAGTCCGGAGCTCGCAGGACCCCGTCCGTAGCTCGCAGGACGAGGTCCGGAGCTCGCAGGACCCAGTCCGGAGCTCTCAAGGACCCCGTCCGGAGCCCGTAGGACGAAGTCCGGAGCTCGCAGGACCCCGTCCGGGACGCCATCAGTCATTGTTGGCATCCACCGCCGGACTCCGTCCGGGACCCTTCAGGACCCCCCCCGGACCGGTCCGGTTATGGCCAAAATACGTCCGGGACCATACGTCCAGGACCCCGTCCCGGACGCCGTCCTGGACGTCAGGACCTGGTCCTGAAAATACCCCGTTCTACTAGTGTAATGAGCACCGTCCTGTTCGACGATTCTATCCACGTCAATTTGTGTCATCGTTGTTTAGTTAACAGCGCTACTCCAATGTACGCGCTTGTTCGATTAACATACAGACAGAAAAAAAATGAGCGCCCAAACTAAATACAATTCCAATGTACTATTACTGAAGTCGCCTCCATCCTTATGCCACTCTGTCCCACACTCGAACGGTTTTGTCAGCAGACGCAGAAAAAAGGCGTTTGTCGATGACTGCCACCGCCTTGACGTTATGGGCATGCCCTTTGAGAACTCGGATGCATTCCCAAGTGCTGAGCCTCCACACCCGAACGGTCATGTCGTCCGATCCTGAAAACAACAAGCTGCCCCCGACTGCCAGTGACTGCACACAATTAGTGTGCCCCCTCAGCTCTTTGACGCAATCCCATGTGGCAAGGCTCCAAACGCGAATGATTCCACTGGCATGCCCTGAAATCAAAAAGTCGCCACTGACGGCCAAAGACAACACATAATCAGAGTGCCTTCGGAGCACTCGCCAGAACTCCCCATCCCCCCGTCTCCATATTCTGATGGTCTTATCATAGGAGCCGGAGAACAAGAAGCGGTCGTTGATGGCCAATGAGTAAACGTGATTGGTGTGCCCTCGGAGCACACGCTCGCACCTCCACGTGCTGACACTCCACATGCGGATGCTCTCATCATCAGAACCAGAGAACAAATGGTCTCTTGTCGCTGCCAGTGTCCACACCCAATTGGTGTGCCCTTCCAGAACGCGCATGAACTCCCAGGTCCCCAGCTTCCACACCCTCACTGTCTTATCACTAGACCCAGAGAAAAGATATTTGCCATTGGCTGCCAATGACACCACATAACCCGTATGCCCCTCAAGCACTGACTGGGTGGACTCCCAACGCCCCAATCTCCACACACGAATCTTTCTGTCATCAGATCCAGACACCAGCCAGTCTTTTGTCACGACCAGCCACCGCACCCAGTTTTCGTGCTCCTTTAGGACGAGTTTGTCTTGCCAATCTGGATCGTTGGACGCTTGCCCACCATGCCCATGCGCTTCCTGTTGTCCCACACAGGTCGCAGAAAGTCAAACGGCAGTACCATCTCGAATTGAAACCAAGTCCATTTGTATATTTTTCAATGCCTTGTATGTAGCAATACATTAACTTGCTTGAACATTCTTGACAAATTGTGCATGTTGCAAATGTGCCATTGGTTCAGTACTTGAGCGACGCATGCAATGAAACCCTTCCACAATGTTTATAGCCATCCAAGCTGCGACGGAGGAACTGTATGATAGACATGAAATGAGAAGTAGGGGGAGTCAGATAGAAATTACTTCCTCCGTCCAAGATTAATTGTCCTCTATGACTTTGCCGCCCTACATATCCAGCACAGGTACTTCATTTTCAATGAAATTTCTACCAATGGTATGCCTGTGTTTCGGGAATATACGGTCAAAATTTCAGGTCAAACCGTTTAGTATTGAGGATTTGGCAGTAGTTTGTAGTAGGGTCCTCCCGCCAGAAACCCACCCGTTTTTCAACAAAGTCACCGAAACAGCCGTTTTCGCGATGGGGAGGAGCACGACTTTGCGGCGGCCAAACAAGACCGCCCGTGCAAATCTGTCCATGCCATTTGGACAGAAGCTTGGAGGGGTCCCTGCGAACAAGCAAAGCGGCAGCAAACGTGTCTTGGTGGGCTTGATCGTGGAAGTCGCCGTGGCTTTGCTGACCTAATTCGAGATCGATTGGCAAGTTCAAGGTTGCATTCCCGGCCCAGATTTCTGGGCCGTGACCTTTCGAACTCCATCGCTGCTGTGAGAGATACTGCGCAACGCCTCCCCCAAGCCCCTTGAAGAGGTGCGAAGGAATGTGATGGCCATCACCCTAATCTATGGCGGACGATTGGGGGAATGGCTTGGATTGGGGGATGGCAAAGTCGACTTTTGCCGCGACAATTGAAAAGGTGGAATGCGATGAGAACGGTCAGATAGATCATTTTGTGTCTCTCTGACGAGTTGAGACTATGTAGATTGGGAAGGCTTGCGGACTGCACGTACAAGCTGGCCGCTAGTGCCAATTTTGGGAGTGTGGGCCCAGCCACACACGAAGGCCTCGATTCAAAGATCAATCGAGGTGCTTTGTTAGAGACAAGTTGTAGCACAGCCTTAGAACGATAGCACACATAGAGCCCAAGCTTGAGCGTGCTGGGCGTTTGCCTTTTCTGCTTGTGGCAGGTCCTTGCATCGGAGATCCGGAAGGGCAGCGATTTCTGCCATCGTTGATGCTGTGACAACGGGCTTATTCGATGGGGATCCAAACATAGTGGAGCGTGTTTGGCAAGCGCTTAACCACGAGAGGGACGCTGCCCTTCGCTGCGATGGCAAGCACAACTTTGGTTTGGCATGCCAGGGGCAGGAGCGACCCAGAACCACGTGGATCTCCAACGAACGCCAAATCAGAATGCACAATTTTGGGCCAAATCTTAGGCAATTTCAGGGGGCCATCAAAGGTAGTGGGGTTAGATATTTTTTCACAAAAATTGGTAGTCAAGGGTTTTGGGACCCAATCTTTTCGATTCTGACCTTTATTAGTACTTTTGAAGCGGTTTAGGTAACGAAATTTATCTTTTAAATAGAGGACAATTAATCTTGGACGGAGGAAGTATGAATTAAATAATACACCAGTCATAAGCTGGGAAGGGGAACATAGAATCACGCATGTTAATGGCAGAGGTGTGATAGGGAAGGGAGACATAGAGCGCAAAGAAAATGCACAGACAAAATGCTGTCCAGACTCATGACAGGAACACTCAAAGAGCTTGCTGTACACATTGGGGCAAATTGTTGGGCAGCGAATAATGAAGCTGTCCTGTGGGCTGCCTATCAATGGAGTCTGCTGTCCACGCACCATTATGTAATAATTGACATGAACCCGTTGGCAGAGCCCCCGTGGCCTGCTGGCCGTGGGTGAGACTCGACCTGAGGCGGCAGCCTAATGTCTGGCACGCCCAATGCAAGGAACTATCGAAGGGCCCGCAGTCACATAGACTCTACACTGCCTAAAGTATTTCAAGTTGAGCGTTTTGGATATCCAGGGTGATATAAATCAAAATGTGTCATTATTAAATATATCGACTAGCATTAAATTTTAACGCATTGTGCACATTGTTGCAATTGCACATAGGGATATTTCTTCAGCTTAACGATGGAGACGCGGATGCTAACATTCACTCCAAAGTTTTGAATTGGTCTTAGTCCATTCGCTAAAAGTGCTCATCGTTGCTTGTCTGTACAGGCATCAAGATGCCCAGATCTACATGGATACGCTACTTAAAATCAGGAGAGAATAATTTGAATGCAGACAGCCAGGTGTGGAAACGCCCACAATGTTTAAGTTAGTAAATCTCAACATCTGGGACCATTTTAAAGTCCAAAACTGTCAATACCAAATACATTGGCTCGATTATTGACAATTAATGCATTTCTTATATAATAACAATCGAGATATTGCTTCAATTTCACGATGGAGGCGCGGAATGCACAACGAATTTGGCGTTTGCCAGGCCCCTTCAACAGCGTTGGCTCGATCTGATTGAGTCAATGCTCCCGAAGTAATCATGAATTGGATGTGGTATATAGTTTCATCACCAATAGATAGCTGTTGCCGCCTGTCACAAGTCTTTGATTGGTGCCGCTCAATGCCACCAGCCCAAGATCAGCACCACTGCATGCAATAGGTAAACATTTCTACACTGTACCTGTGAATGGTATGTTTTGACAATTGCTGATCCTGTTAGTCCGTTACTGGCCATTGGGCTTTTCAATACATCATAATTAGGCACCAGTCAGCGGCGGCAGTATTATGAAACACTGCCAGTAGCGCTGACCTCCAATGTACTTTATTGCTGGCGTACTTATGCATTTGAAGATGCATAGTACATGAACTGACTAGGAAATAGCTTCCCTTGCAGTTCTTGTTGCACTTCCAGAATTCGTTCATATCACACAAACTCCTGCTGGAGATTGTATGCTCCCACGCTTATCATTCAAAACACAAAGCTACAAATTCAAACCATTTGGCAAATTCTGACAAATTTTCCAGCTGATTATTCACACATGGTGGTCCTACAAATGTGTCCATGCACACCTCATCTTCTGCAATGTCTTCCATCACAGCATCTGGTGTCTCCACAGATCTTGGTGGCTGTGGTGCAAGCCCCTGGAGCTGATTGCTCAGATGATCTGACTTTGCTGCATGCTCCCCGGACGCTCCTTGAAGATTGCAGGATCCAATCTTTGACAAATATAAAATTGAGTCACTCATGGATATGTGCACACTATTGCACAACAAAGGCACAAAAAATGAATTGCTTGTCCAGTAAATGTGCAGAAAAATTTGTATTGGCAAGGTATCAAGATCGTCAATAATAGTGCATGGCCAACATTCACCTTACTCAGAGGTTGCTGATGAGGACTCCAATTTTCTGGCAGCTCCTGTAAACATCGGGTGATTTCCATCATGGTTGGCCGTTTTGCAGGGTTGATGGAACAACAGCGCTGCATGAGCAGCCGCATTTCTTCAGGACAATCCTCAGGTCGTACTGTGCATGGCTCTGCACCAGACAGCTTCCTCTTCATCACTGTAGCATTTTTTACATCAGCGCGCATCAGTTTGTCTGCTCCATATGGATGTGCTCTTGTCACTACCTCATATATGACGACCCCAAAGCCAAAGATGTCAGATGGGGCCGAGGTAGGCTCCCCTTCATACAGTTCGGGTGCCATCCACTCCAGTGTTCCCCCTCCCAACCTGGTCGTCTTGCTCCTCCCTTTGACAACTTCAAATGCAAGTCCAAAGTCCATGATCTTCACGTTGCAGTTTTCTGGATCCATCCCAAATATGAGAAAGTTTGAACTTTTAATGTCTGAATGGACAACAAGAGGAGAAAGTCTGTGCAAGAAACATAACCCTTTTGCGGCCTGTCGCAGGAGGTTGAGTGTTCCTCTCCAGCCAATTTTCATTGAACTTCGACACAAAGCCCCAAGATCTGTGTCTGCCTTTTCCATGACTAGCCATCCAGATGGAGTGGTTGCAAACAACTGGACAACATTGAGGTGTCTGAGCTTCGCATGCACAACCACTTCCTTGACAAAGCCTGCAAACTCTTCAATTGGCAAGTCACCTTCAGCAAGTGGCCTCTTCACAGCCACTGTATCATTGCCCCACTGTGCCTCGTACACAAGACCATATCCACCTTCACCTATCCGTCTGTGCAAGGTAAGAGCATCTTCAGCAATGATCAACAAGAGTTTCAGCTCATCTTCATGGGCACGTTTGATGGGCATCCATAAATCGAGCAAGTTCTCGTCGACACTACTCTCCTTGCCCTTGAGAATGTAGCAAAGCAGTTTGTGCAAGTACTCTCTGTCATCCCTGACACAGCCTATGGGCACAGCACCTTCAAGCTCTGAGGCACAGTGCATCTGCCATTTTTGAGTCAGCGCCTGCAGAAACCCACAGGTTTCATCAACGGTTTTGTGGACATCGTCAATTTTGTAGAAGGTTCTGATGTCAAATGACTCTGAGTGTTTGACGAGCAGCCTGTCTGCCTTTTCAATGCACAGACGGAAAGCTTGCCATTCTTCTGTTGTTGCTTCGGATGGTCTCTCCAAGTCTTTCACTCTTCCCAGTTGTTGGTGGAGGAAGGACAGCATGTGGTAGTTGTACTGCAGCCCTTGCAACATACCGTGGCTTGCCTATGGCAGCACAAGATTCCGATGAGTAAGGGCCCCATGATACAGAACATGATTCCATTATTTGGGCAAACTGCAGGGCCAAGCGCAAATTCTATTGGAAGAAATTGCAGAATGGCCCTGCATGTCCCCAGTCCACATATTTGCAGCCACAGCATAGCATCAACGGGATCCAATCTCCCAATTGCCATGCGCCTTCTATTGCTATTCCACGCAACAAGACTTCAATTGGACGGGCCCTCTGTCACAAATCGGGGCAACGCAGCCTGCATCGCCAACAGTCCATCAGCGAGGCAATGCGATCTCCGGCACTCCCCACCATCTCGATCCCCCACCCAGTTCTCGGGCGTGTGAAGACGTTTGCCGTCTCACGACGTCGCAGTGGGGACATCAATCGAGTTCGCCCCTGGAGCATGCCACGCAACGCCCCATGCAGCGACGAGCACGGCGCCCCTTCGGGGTGGTGCTTGCGAACTCACATTCGCTCGCGGCGAGCCCCCGCTCCTACCTGCAGATCCACCCGGGGTTGGCGGCAGGGCGCCTCCCTTATCCCCTCCTCGGGTTGCCGCCTGCCATGGCCACTCACCGCTTCTCCGTGACTTCCCTCCAGCGCGTCTCGACGCCCCGTGCCGAGGGCCAAACCGTCCTTGCTTTGAGCACTCCCACCCGCGGGAGGCCTGCGAGACAGTGGGAAGACGGAAAACGGTGAGCGCCTCGGCTGGGCTCCGGGCATTGCTTCGGCCTCGCCCCCCCAGCACTGCACGGCATCCACACCACATCCACATCCACACCACACCACCGGGAGAGACGCGCCTGCCGATCTTGAACAACCCGCCGAGCGTCGCTGGGCGTCGAGCTAACGACCGGGCTGGCCGCGCGTCTCTCGATCCGTAACAGCAGCCTATTTTGGGATCCACCAATCCGTTCGCCCAGCCCTACCCCGCCATCGGCATCACCGCGGGCGTCACCGGCGCGGACACCAAGGTTGCGCACACCGGCTTACCTGCGTCCGGCGCACCAGCGGACCGATCCGACTCCAAGAGGTGGGAGCGCTCTTCGACGGGACCCCAGCGGGGCCGCTCACTCCCTGGCGCCCGCAGCAAGGGGGGGCTGTGAAGAAGCGGAGAAAACAGGATGACAAAAAATGGCCGGGGCGCTCAGGGTAGCGGGCAGCGATGTGGGTCGTGCTTTGCTGATATGGTTAGATTTCGTTTGCGGCCTCTTCCGGGGGCCCTCTAAATGGTTCCTGAAGACAGTCATGTGCGAGGGATGTGGCGATTTTCTAAGTACCCCTCCGGAACCGCGTACCCTGTCATTAAGGTTCCATTATGGTCCTGGTTACGGTTGTCTATAGTTGTTTCAGTGGTCAATAGTTGGTGCTGAGATAGCTTGGTTGTGCAGAAGGCGACGTATGCAGTATACCCTGCCCATTTGGAGACATAACAGCGGCTTTGATGACGTGCAGTGCCCATACAAGAGCGTGCTAGAGGTACTGATGATGCAGAGTGCCTTTGTGGGAATGTGCCGGAGGCCCTGATGACGTAGAATGCCCTTTTGTGAGAGTATGTTGAAGGCCTGATGACGTGCCGCCCCGTGCGATGGCTGGCGTATGCATGGAGGATGTGTCGAACAGCTGGAGGCGTGGCTGAAGGACGTGCCGCGCCACTGAAGACGACCCTCGACAATGGACGTTCCTGTTGGACCTCATGTGGGTGCATCAGAAGCTGAATCCGACGTACTTTGGGTGTCCAGAGTACCGTGGGTGCCGCACCCATGCGGTTTCCAATACTTTAAGATGATTAACAATTGCAGGTGCTGCACCACGTGCTGTGCCCCAGCACGGGGACCTGGCGGCCGGTACCATGGTGTGATTGAGGAGTGTTGTAGTATCTTGAGCTGCCTGGCAGATCCCCGGCGCTGGGAGGGACCAACGGTATGATTGGTTGAACAGGGCAACCCGGGCCAGTAGTTTAGCGGAGATGCTCGTACTTTAGAGCTTGGGTAAAGCACCCAGCGGTTGAGATGAGTGCGAGACCCAGGGCGATGCGGCGTAGTACACAGGCAGGGACTTTCTGTATTTCAAGGCACGGGTGGCACACCCAAGGACAAGGTACAATATACTGTGTATGGATTTGATGTGACCTTTCGTAGGTGCACGGTGCTGGTGCCGCACCAAGTGGGTCGAACTATTTATGGACACACGACTTTGCTTGTAACAAACGCGAACCTTGGGCCCACTTCGTTGTTTCTCTGCGTGTTTTTTGGGAATTGCGTCCCGCTGGATGGTTGCCATGCCGCACTGACAATCGCCCATTGGGGGTGCATCCTCGCCGTCGAGTTCAGCTCGATCTGGCGGGCGTTCATTTTCGTGCGTGGCTGTCCCATTGCCGGAATATTCGCCATTTAGACGCCATTCCTGCGGTGATATGAGGCTCGACGCCAACAAGGGACGCGGGCATGGTCTGGGAAAAGCACAAATGACCTGCCTCCTGCGCGTTGAGTACTGGCTGGAACTTGGACTCATGCAGGAGGGTGTGCCAGATCTCGCCAAATCGCGTTGGACGCGGACCCAAGCAGGACAGGCGTGTGCAGGAACTACATTGTGTTGCGGCGGCCATTTGACGACGCTATTTTCAGGAGCGCCCCAGCTCGGCCGCAAGCGCCTCCTGTTGGACAGCCATCACTGTAAACGCTGTGCTGACGGTGTCAACGGTAAATTTGCCAGAGCAAAGTGGTCCATCGCACACAGCCATCAAATTGTTGTACATCGATAGTTTTGAGGTTCAGTGAGGTACTGGTCGTAGATCGCCGCTGCAAATGCAGCATTGCAAGAGTCGCACATCTTCACTCAGTCCTTATTGACGTCGATGTCGACCATCCGTTTCAGTATTCGTGAATGTGAGCTGCACCTCGTGCACAGCACGGCTCCGATAGATGACGACAATTGCGCCGAAGCTTCCGGATCAGTCCATGCCTCTCGAATGCTGTCTGCTGTGCACAGACAATGTTCTGGAGACAAGATTGGTAAACACACCTAGTTCACAATCAAAATAAGAAATAATACCATTGTTTAATCCATCTGTTACCAATCCGAATGACACCGCAGTTTATCCAGCCTTTCAGGTATTATGCTGACACGCAATATGGCAGACTTGTATAATACACCTCCTCGCTGCCAAGATTCGGGTGGCCGATGGCCACCGACGCGAGCGATCTGTTGGCCAGCTCAGGACTCCCTCGGGGCAGTCGCTGCACATCAAAAGACCTCCACACGGGGCAATCGTCGCTGTGCAAGGCCAATGGGCCACAGCGCGGGAAGCGCCCGACCCATTTGGGAGGAGGCCGAAGAGTTCGCGGGAGAAAAAAGTTTGCGGGGGCAAAATGTTCGCGCGGAAAAAAGTTCGCACAGTTGCTCGAGCGCGAAATGCATGCACTTTTTTCCCACACGAACTTTTTTACTTATACAATACTCACAGTTTGCCAGGCGCATCAGATATATGTGCGTAACTTTTTGCAATGCTTTTCTGCTCTGCATTTCTTCCCGGGGGCATCGTTGTATTATCGGGGTCGTGCGTCATGCCGTTTGCAGAAATGCTAAGTAAAGCACAGCATACATGTAAGTCCGACCGAAATGTACAAAGTCTTCCTTCCATAAGTTTTTCCAATTCTTGTAGGTGCCTTATTAGATTGGTACTATGCATGATGAACAACGCCCAAAATTTAAAGAAACAATTTAGCACTCCAAGTGCTCCAGATAATCCACAGAATCTTCACCCAACTTTGCCCCATACCCGGACTGTCCCATCGCGAGACCCAGATAAAATGCGCTCATCAGTGACCGCCACTGCATACACCCAATCAGTGTGCCCTTCAAGGATTCTGATGCATTCCCAAGTGCCAAGCCTCCACACACGAATAGTCATGTCCTGCAATCCCAAAAACAACAAGTTGCCCTTGGCTGCCAATGAATTCACCCCATTAGTGTCCTCTCTCAGCTCTCTGACACAATCCCATGAGTCCAGACTCCAAACACGAATGTCTCCCTCAGAACCTGATATAAGAAAGTCATCACTGACTGCCAAAGACAACACCCAATCGGAGTGGCCTTGAAGCACTCGCTGGTGTTCCCCATCCTCCTTTCTCCATATTCTGATGGTTTTGTCATTGGAGCCAGAGAACAAGAAACGGTCGCTAACAGCCAATGTGCGCACATAGTCGGTGTGCCCTCGAAGCACGTGCTGGCATGTCCACGTTCCAATCCTCCACATAATGATATTCTTGTCGCAAGAACCGGAGAACAAATGGTCTTCTGTTGCCGCCAGTGCCAACACAGAATCAGTGTGCCCTTCCAGAACATGTGCTGTCTCCCTGGTCCCAAGCTCCCACACCCTGATGGTCTTATCAGCAGATCCAGAGAAAATAAAGTTGTCATTTGCAGCCAACGACGCCACTCCATCTGTATGCCCCTCAAGCATTGATTGGGTGGACTCCCAGTGCCCCAAACTCCACATGCAGATTCTGCCATCTCCTGATCCAGAGAGCAACCAATTGCTGATCATGAGTACTGACCACACCGCACAACCGCATCCATCAAGGACATGGTTGCATTGCCAGTGTGGATCCCTAGAGGCTTGCCCATCGTGACTGCCAATATTCTGCCATAACATACAGGCAACAGAATGTCAGACAACAATGCCATCTATATTTTACATCAGAGCTGTGTTCATAAAATATGTTACAAGAATTGATTTTGTTGCTAATATTTTGTAATTTAAGTAAAAGTTTTATTACCATAGTAAGTTACACATTGTAAGAGTAACTATTAGGTTTCATGCTTAAACTATTTTTGAATCAAATATTTTTGCATGCTAGTTTGTATCAGGTTGAAGTTACAAGTTAATGATGATTTTCATATTTAGACAGTATATCCAGGTAGATCTGAATGTCTGTATCCATTTGCAGTAGCAACAATACAACGAAGTGATGGATATCAATGTAAAGTTTGCAACTGATGTTGCCCTCAAATGTCCAGCGGTGAATTCGAAGTAGCATATTGTCGTTTCATTGTGATTTCTTAGAAATAACAAGAAAAATAGGATTGCATGCGTTACTTGACACACATAGGCCAAATTCCAGGAATGCTACAATTGCAGTTGTTCACACCTCATCTCCTGTATGGTCTTCCATCAGAGCAGCTGGCATTTCCACAGGTCCTGGGGACTGCAGTGTGGGTCCTCCAACTTGACCTGTCAATTGACCTGGCTTTGCTGCATGCTCCTCAGCTGCTTGAAGGTTGCTGGACTCAATCTTCAGAACAAGCAAAACTGAGTTAGGCACAAAACACAAGCCTCATGTTGGACTCAAAAACAGAACAAGGGCAAACTCTTGAATGTGAAAAGTCACACCTGCACCTGCCCCAGGCTTGGGAAATACGGGTACTGCCTAAAATGGTAATGTGGAGAATATGTATTGTTGCAGAACTTTGCCTTGGGCCTAAAAACACATCTACAAATATGATAAATATTTTCACAATTACACCATTAATGACATGAACAAGTTTAATCAGTCAGCATCCAGCATCCATGCCCAACCCATCCTTGGCATCCTCACCCACTGCCTCTACAATAGCACATATGTTAGCAGGTTTGGGGAGGTTCAGCCTCGCCACTCACTCCTTGCCACATCCACAGCACATCCAAATCACTTGTGACATGCAGGTCGCTGGTTTGTGGAATACAATTAGCAAGTCTCATCTGTTAATTGGCGAATTTATGATCACTTAACTTGGTTATTTTAGAATATGTCTAAAATGCACATATTTTGCATTTTGCCACAATATGAATATCATTGCATATTTTTATTTTGATCCAGCAATACTTCCAAAGCCTGAACTGCTTTGATTCGTACTTCCATTTAATTACCATGTGCCACAGTCTGAGCAGCACAACAAAGCCAGGGCAGGATCGCCATGCTATTGCAGCACTCTCACAGTCAACGTCCTCTGTGCTTCTCACGTCTACTTCCAATTTCATCACCAAAGCTGTGGGCAACAGAAGATCCCTACATGAACTCTATCACAACAATCCCTTTCACAGAGGGCTTACCAGAGGCAAAGAATATGTGGCAAAACCAACAGTAAGCTCGCAAGTTCAAGGTCAAGCCATCAAAACTATCTAACTAGCAAATGCACGGTGCATAGCCGGGAAGCCACCTCGTTGGCAAGTTGGTGACAAGGGTCCCAATCCTCTGGCAGCTCCTGTAAGTATTTGATGACATCCCTCATGGTTGGCCGTTTTGCAGGGTCAGTGGAACAGCAACACTTCATGAGCAGTCGCATGCCTGCTGGGCAATCTGTTCGTTGCACCACGCATGGCTCCTCTCCACATAGCTTCTTGTTCATCACAACTGCATTTTTTGCCTCAGGATGCATTGGTTTGTCCACTCCATAAGGATGTTCTCCAGTCACTGCCTCGTACATGACGACTCCAAAGCCGAAGACGTCAGATAACACAGACAAGGGTTGGCCCTTGTACACTTCTGGAGCCATCCACTCCAGTGTCCCTCCTCCCAACCTTGCTGTCTTGCTGTTCCCCTTTGCTGCTTTGAATGCAAGCCCAAAGTCTGTGATTTTCACCTTGCAGTTGCACGGATCTGTCCCAAATATGAGGAAATTTGAGCTCTTGACATCTGAGTGGATGATAGGGGGTGACAAAGAGTGCAGATGACACAGCCCTGCTGCAGCCTGCCTTAGAAGGTTGAGTGTCCCCCTCCAGCCAATTGTCTGAGCGCCACGGCACATGGTCCCCAAATCTGCATCTGCAGGTTCCATGACAAGCCAGCCTGATGGTGTAGTTGCATGGACCTGGACAATGTTGGGATGGTTCAACTTTGCATGCACCACCACCTCCTTGACAAAACTTGCAAACTCCTCAATAGGCAAGTCACCTTCCACCACAAGAGGCTTTTTCACAGCCACCCTTGCAAAATTCCATTCAGCCTCATACACAAGGCTGTATCCACCCTTGCCAATCTGCCTCTTCATCGTGAGCGAGCTTTGGCAAATGATTTGCAGGGATCTCATCTCCTCATCATGAGCTCTTTTGATGGGCCTCCACTGTAGAAGCAACTCATCATCAATGTCAGCTTCAATTCCCTTCAGAATGTAAGAAAGCATTTTGTGTAGGTACCTCCTGTCCTCCTCAATGCAGTTGTAGGGTACTGCGCCTTCAAGCTCTGCTGAACTTGGCAGACCCCATTCTTGAGTCTGTGCTTTCAAAAATCCACAGATCTCATTGACAATTCTGCAGACATCATCAATCTTGTAGAAAGTCTGGATGTTGAAGCTGCTTGCATGCTTGGACAGGAGCCTGTGTCCCTTTTTGACTTGCTGGACAAACGTCTGCCACTGTCGTTCTCTTGCACCAACTGGCCGCTGCAAGCATTTTACCTTTTCCAGCTGCTGGTTGAGGAACGAAAGCATCTTGTGATTGTACTGTGGCCCTTTTGGCTGGTTGGAACCCACCTGCAGACAACAAAAGAAATGTAGCAACTGTCCATTCCTGTACCAGCTGCAAGAAACAGGTTGTCTCTTGCAGTAAATGTGCTTCTTTGTCAAACAAAAATTGTGTCAGATGGTGAAGACAATTAATGCCTAACTACACAAGGCAACATATCTGTTCAATTCATGGTATACATTATCTGCACCTTAACAACAACGACCCCTGTAAGGCAATGTCATGTGGGTGCGACGCAGTGGAGAGGGAGGGATCGATTCAGGAACTACCATAGAGTAAGGGGGATAGCACTCACCGCGTTGAGCATTTCCAGCAACGTCTATTACGTGTGCGATTTTATCTTGCACTACCCAGCATTCCCCCCTCGTTAAGCAACAACTGAGGCGCAGTGCTGTAGGACCACTGGTGGCAAGAATAAATTCGAAATTTTTGACTCTACATGAGCAAAAACATACACTCTGGGGGTGCCAAAACAAAGGAACGTGTAGCTGCAGTCTCAATTCAATCACCACATCACCAAATTGCGACCCAAATCAAAGGAACAACTGGCGGCAATTTTGAAATGCAAATGAAGATGTAGTGTTTTGGAATGAAAATGAAGAGAAAGCCTGGCTGCGAACCAAATTCGAACAAGAAAAGGACAGGCTGGACTTGCAGCCCAAATCCAAGGCTGGTACTTTTGAGCTCTCGCATTATCCAGCAGTTCCCCTGCGCTGAGCAACGAGCATGAAAATGCCACAACGAGAATGATAGCATGATGGGCTGCCATCCCAGCAGATATCCCCTCCCACCCACCCACTTACCCACCCACCTCCTTGTTATCACGTTATCTAGACTATCCGCGTTATCCCCCGTTCTCCGCAGTAAGTGCCACGGCACAGGGCCGCCATTAAACAACATCGATCGGGTATTGGTGCGACTTTGGGCTCCCCTTATTAGGTAGGTCCTGTCCAGGGGCCTGCGGCGCTGGGACATGTCGGCGCCCTTGTCCTGTCGTTTCGAGACCTTGGCGAGACGACAGCGGCAAACAATCGGCTTCTTCACAAATTCGCCACCCGTGGCCCTACCAGGGTGCCAGGGAGCGACGCAGTGCACGGTGCCCAGGTGGTTAGGATTCGCATTGTCCCACTCGCAGCACGGTGTCCAGAGCGGGGAGACCGCCTGCCATTGGCGCCGGTGAAAGGTCCCTTTCCTTGGCAGGCTGCAACAATGCCGCCCGTCACAGCCACTCACCACGTCCGCCTGGCTCCGCTCCATCCCGATTCCGACGCCCGGCCGTGCCGGTCGAACGCAGCGATCAGCGGAGCGCCGTCCGGCCGCACGCCCGCTCGATCCCTGCAAGACCGCAGCGGAAGAGAGCGCCGTGCGTCACGGCAAGGCTCCAGGGGCAGTGCCCACCGGCCCCCATCCTCCCAGGGGGCGCGGCACCGCGTCATTGTCAATCTCTGGGAGAGTCTAGCAACAGGGCCGTTCGGTATCGATGCCCGGCGATCGAAATCCTCCCCGATGCCCACGGATCGAGCTTCTCCCCCCTCCTCTCCGTGTCTACCACAGCCCCCGTATCTGTTCCGCCGATCTGATCGCTCATCCCCAACCCGTCCCGACCGGGTAAGACATCGCGAGGGCGCGGCTTGGGTGGATGCCCTCGACACACCAAACCGGCTCACCTGCGCCCTGCCCCGCTGATTTCCGGTGGCACGCCGATCCAATGCCGCTGCCGGCCCGTGTTTAGTTGGCAGCACGGCAGGGGGCCCCTCGCTGCTTTGCTATGCGCGCCCGCCGCACGGCGCGCTTTGAAGAGGCAGGGAAGCAAGGTTTTTGGCAGAGCGGCCTTTTCACGTGTTCCGCATCGGTGTGAGGTTGCCTGGTCCGGATGTGGTATAGTTTCACTTTCGGCCTCTTCAACGGGCCCGGGCCTTGGTCAGGGATGACAGCCACGACTGGGCCTAGGGACCGCTCTTACGGTCCTGTTCTGAAGAAAATCGGGCGTGGAATGGGGCGAGGACTGGGGGAGGAGGTGGCTAGACACCCACCGTATTTTATCGACCGCTCGGCGTCCTGGTTTCGAAGTGTTATTGGGTCGTACATACGGCCCGCCCCCACTCCCAACACCAGTCGAACGGGGGGCCACTGCAGTGAATGGGCCGTCGGCTGACTGCTCTGCGGCTTCTCCCCAACCGGCGACACCGCGTGCAAATAACACCGTTTTCCAGTCCCCGCGGCTTCAAACGCCGCCGCGCAGCGCAAGTCTTCCTGCTTTGACGAATTCCGGACGCCTTCAGGGATGCGCGTCGAGGCGCGATCGAATCATTCACAAGCAGGCGGCCTGGGGCCGAGCAGCGGTGCGTTACAAGATCTAGGTCGGTAGGCGGGACATGCTGGCTGCCCTGCGGGGTTCGGGGAGGGTCCTCACCGCCAGAGCCAAAAGCAGAACGCCGGCAGCGGCGAACTTCATGCTGCGAGTCTTCGTTGCCGTCGTCCCTTGTGCACCTGCGCCACGGGACCACAGGTCAGGGCGACGTACGGCCTGTGATGAAGTTCAGGGCATGGAACATGGGGAACAGCCAGCCAGCCACTTGCCCCAAGCTCCGAACGAGAGGCCACTCGCGGCAGAAGGCGGCCCGATCCACCGGGCGCCGCCGCTCATTCCACGGCACGGCATTTGCCGGCTGGGACCCTCCCAGTCCG